CACACAACTCCGTGAAAGTTTTGGCGAGGAAAATTATTGCCTTGATAACTAGGGAGCTGAGATTTTATGTGTATTTCCCCTGCCCACGTGCGACCCAGAAAATTTAAATTCAGCTTTTCCGTGCGCTTGAGTTTCACGCACAGCCCCGTGAGAGTTTTAGCGGGAAAATTGTCCTGGGAACCATAAATGCAAGGAAGTTGAAATTTAATGAAGGTTTCTTGCCCCCGTACGACCCCATAAATTTAAAATTATTTTTTAGTCAAGCATGGGTTTAGTTATGCCCCATGAAAGTTTCGGTGGAAAAAATTACTATCTCGGAAGCCATAAAAGACAGGAAGCTGAAATTTTGGGAGAATGCGGCCTCGCAGAATCAAATGCAGCTTCCTTGTACTCCTGGGTCTTGTGCGGCCCTGAAAAAGTTTTGGTCGGGGAAATTATTATCTCGGGAACCAGAATAGCCGTGAGGCTGAAATTTCAGGAAGATGTTTTGTGCCTTTGCAGACAGCTCAAGAAGCTCAAATTTAGCAGCCAGCTATGCTAAGGTCTTACGCATGACCACATGCGTATTTTAATGCGAAGGTCACTAGCTCGGAAGCAGGAAAAGTGGGAGGTTGAAATTTGGGAGTGTACTCCCCGTCCAAAATTTCATATTCTATTTCCGTATACTGGCACTTCAAATTTTTGGTGAGAAATTCATCAGCTTAGAAGCCAGACAGCATATCGACTATTTTTCCACACCGAAAGTATAAAGCAGTGGAAATCTTAGCAGACAAACGTCCGCTTGACGGAAATGCGCAAAACGCATGGTCGTATCGACTGCCCTGGCGCGCGCCGCCATTTTTAAGTTAGATTGTCAGCCGTCGCGACGTCTTATTTCTGTAACAATTGCTTGCAGAAGTATTTCGATGAGGCCCGGCGTGTTAATGAGCAGAAGAGGTTGAAGCTCGAAGCGATGAGCGAAGCCGAGAGGGAGGAGCTGCAGAGACAGGGCCAGAGCTTGCGCGAAGCCCGCCTGAAGCGCAGGATACGCTTGGAGAGGCGTAAGGTGCGTTTTAGAGATTTTTGCCGCACATTTATTTTTTTCAGTGATGAGCCCGGCTGCGGACGTAGTTATGGCCACGTTATCAGCAGTAGGCACTAGTTACGAAGACCTTACTCCTCCAGGTTTACTTGCGATGAGGGCCGGCGTGCACTTTCGACAGGGAGCATTGACTGCCGCAAGATTTCTGTTCCAGAGCAGCAGGTGGTCATGTGAAGAGGTGAGGAGGAGAAGCAGGGGAATAGCCTTTGTGAGACCAGCTGAAGAAAGCCTCCGCATCTGTCGTATTCATTTTCATTTTTATTTCGTAAGCTGATTGTAGCATCCAGGTTGACTTTGGTTGGTAAGTTTCGAAAAAAGCTTTTAAAGATATCAACCTTTTATCACTGCTGATAAGGGAATCTGAGCATCCCGCAAGCCAGTTCACTCCGAGATATTCAGAAGAGCAGCAGTTCGGGAGGTAGCCTTCGCCGCCAGGCATTGAGCTTCTGGACAGCTGAAAGAGCTCTGCTAATTTCACTGTTGGTTGCCTTGGACTTCTGTTGCCGCGTTTTTTACACTGACATCTGTCATTTCTTCCCAGTTGCGCCCATGATATTCCGTGCGTATTTTTCTTCCTCAGTTGGTGGCATTTGACGCTTCAAATTTACAAGTTGGTACTTCAAGCGTCTGCCATGAATGAGCATTTTCCCAGCTCTATAGCATTGTCGAATCGGCCTGGCAAGACTTGCCGGTAGGGGATAGTGCATCGTCCATAAAATCTGTTCACACACTGACACATATCGCTGTATATTTTTATTCTCTGTTGCATCGGGCAGTTGCAGAAGCGTGAAGATGGCATCCAGCGGCCCATGTCAGGGTGGACGCTCTTTGTGAAGGAAAAAGCTGTCAAAGGCGCTTCCGCTCCCGATAAAAAGCAGCAGGACGTAATCAGAGAGCTTGCCGCTACTTGGAAATCTCTTCCTGAAGATGCAAAAAATGCAAGTCATTTTGCATTTCTCTCGTTACCCATCAGTTTTTATACGTTTTGTGCTGCGTAGCAGCAGTACAAAACGCATATTGTCATGGAGTTGTCTGTGTATATGTTTGTGTGTGTGTGCCCCACATTTTATCCCGCACTTTCAACTCGGGAACCACAAAAGCTAGGCGGCTGAAATTTTGGTATAGTGTTCCCCGCCAGCGGGTGTCGCGGCAAATTTAAATTCAGCCTTCCCGTACCCGCGGGTAACACGTACGGCCCCGTGAAAGTTTTTTACGGATAAATTAGTATCTCAGGAACTACGGAGTCTACGAGGCCCCCTGCCCACGCTCAACCTTGCGTTTCAAATTGAGCGTCCCTTCGCTCTTGAGTATCATCTACGGCCTCGTGAGAATTTTGGCGGGTAAACTATTAACTCAGAAATCACGGAAGGTTTCGAATTCAGTTTTCATGCGCTGGTGCGTGAGATTTTTAACTATTTTCCGATGTTTGAACTATTTTTGCATAGGCAAAAGTATAAAGCAGTGAAAATCATTAATAGGCAATCGTTTGGTGGGCTGAATTGCACAAAACGCATGATCGCACCGGCTAGTCTGGTGCGCATTGCTATTTATTTGATTTTAGGAACT